GTTTTTTTGAGACAAGGTCTTGCTGTATGGCCCAGGCTAGCTTGGAACTCCATGATCCTCCTGAGGGTTGAGGTGACAGATGTTCACTGCCCTACTTGGAGTGTGCAGATGTCTGTTTTAGGCTCCTCTTTTCTAAGGACACTGTCAGTTTGGATGCAGACCACTTGGTCATCTCTCTTGAAACATCTCTCATTCTGAAGTCCTCAGGTCAGGACTCGAGCAGGCGAGTCAACCCGGTAGACCTCTGACTCCTTACTCTTGAGGGGTTTTCTCCCAGCCCCACCACTGTCACCGTGTTAGCTATGTGTGCACAGGGCTTTCAGCACCATGCTCTTCACACTGACAAATTCCAACTTTACTGAAGATCAGATGGTATCTCGGAGCCAAGAGTTCAGGGGTGACATCTTTATCCTTGGCCTCCATTATAGAAGCATGGGGTCAGGTCACATCTCTGGACCTAAACCCTTTTGTTATCTCATGGGCCAGAGCCATGGAGCCAGGAGGGCGGCAGGGAGGGACAGGTTATGGTAGCTTGAGGTAACCTCAACAGCTCAGGACCTCATTTTCCCTATCTGTGAAATGGGGTCTTGGATTGCATGGTTCTAGAGATTTCATGGTTTACTACTGGTTGTTGGTTATTTTTGGAAAATGACATCGAAGCTGGGGGCCTCTTCAGTACTGGGGAGGGAGGAGCCCGAGGTGTCCCCTATCTGCTTTCTGTGGCTACATACAGATTGCCACAAGCGTCGTGGCTTAAAGCCACTCACATCCGCACTGCCATTCTGTGGGACGAAAGTCCACTAGTGCTCCTGGGCTAGACGGAGGTTCTGTCAGCCATGCTCATTCCCAGCTCTGAGAGAAACTCACAGTCTGTGACTTGTGATCCCTCCTGTACCCCAGAGTCATCCACTCAGCCACGTTTCTCACATCTGGGCACCCCAACCTCTTCTGTGTGCACTCTTCCACTTTAAGAGTCCTTGTGATCTGTGGGCTTCCAGAGATGTCTCCACCGTCAGTCAGCTGCTCGGCAGCCCTGTTCCATCTGCTGCTCAGATCCACTTTGCCTTACTGCAGCAGAACACCCCAGGCGGAGGAGCTTATACAGCAGAAATGCCCTGCTCACATTTGGAATTCGAGTTCAGCCTCCAGATGCTGGTGAGGGAGGATCCTGGGCTGGGTTGCAGATGTCCACCTACCTGCTTCTTCCTAGCTCCTGGTGACAAGGGGTGTGTCTCGCTGGGGTCTGTTTTTATGAGTTCTGCCCTCATGACATCATGACTTTCCTGAGGTCATCTCCTAATGTTGCCCCAATGGGGTTGGAATTCTAACACGTGAAATTGTGGGGAACACACATTCTCCCTCTATAGTTCCATACATGTTCTGGGGTTAAGATGTAGTGGGCATTCAGAGTCCTTATTTTGAGTGGACAGCACCATGTCCTGGAACTCTAACACAAAGGCCTGGCATCTGTCTGGAGCCTGGGCACATATCCAGGGCCACGTTTCCCCATCATGGGATTGCTGCTACTCTGTCTATGTCTTTATGGTGACCTGGTGAGGACCAGAGGGATCAATGTCCTTAGGGTGTGTCAGAGCCTGAGTGTCCCAGGATGCCCTTGAGCTTGTGACTTTCCTGCTTCCATCTCCCCAGTGCTGGGACTGTAGCCACCATGTTCAGTCTCTGCAGTGCTGGGGATCGAACCCAGGCTTTGTGTGTGCTAGGCAAACCCTCTACTCACGGAGCCACAGCCTAGTCCTATTTCCTGTTTGTCATCCGGGTTCATCAGGCCTTCACAGATTCTGCTTGGGAGCTGAATGACATGTTAAAGTCACATTCTTGCCTCAGACTTCGTGTTGGTGGTGTTTATGTTCTGTGATGTAGTCATTGCAGCCTGGCAACGGGTGTATCAGACAGGTGATGCTGGGTGGGATGGGAGAGAAGATGGCGGGAGGGCATAGCAAACTCAGGACCAACCCCAGGTGGGCAACGGGTGTATCAGACAGGTGATGCTGGGTGGGATGGGAGAGAAGATAGCGGGAGGCGGGAGGGCATAGCAAACTCAGGACCAACCCCAGGTCCTGGTAGAACAGCCTGTGGGTAGACACTTCTGGGTCTACGGGACCATGGGTGGGAATGATGAAGGTAGAAGAGGTGTCATGTTCATGGAGCCTTCTGGGAGCTAAGGAGAGACTGTCCAACCTTACTACCAGCACACCCAGAGTCCAGTCAGGATGGAACTCAGGAGGTCAGGTCAAGGATGGTCTCAGAGGACACTGTGATGCAATGGGATTTCTACTTCTAAAGTCAGATATAGTGACACATGCCAGCCATTCTAGCACTTGGGAGATTGAGGCAGGAGGATTGCAAGGACAAGGCCAACCCGGGTTACAGGAAGATTTCCAGGCCACCCTGGGCAACTCTGCAAGACCTTGTCTTAAAATAAATAAAATGGATGTGACACAGTGGTAGAGAACTTGTCTAGCTTGTGGGAAGTCTTAGGCGAAGTACCTACCTCCACAAAATCAGAAGGCAGGAGACTCCTCCTCCTCCTTGGGTGTAGTCACCATTCCGAGTGCACATACTTTCTGTCTCTGTCCCTGACTGGGGGGTCACAGCTATCATCAACCACCTGTCACTTGCCTACCTACCAAGGCTCTCTCCAGGAGCACAGCAGATTCGAGGTTCCAGAAGGCATAGCAACCTCTTCTCCGTACCCCTCCTCAGTCTCCCTTGAGAATCTGTCCTGTGTGCCAGGGTATCATCTCCTTCACATCCCTGGGCCTCCATGGTCAGGAGCCACTGGGCCAGCCACTTCCAAAGACACTAGAGTGTAAGAGGGACTAAGTCCAGAATCTGCCAGGTTTGCCTCTGTGATGGACATTGAACCCAGATTTGCCAAGCTCCCATGTGGAGGGCACTCCTGAGCTACGCAGCAGCCCAAAGGGACAAACGCTGTCACTCTCCAACAGATGAGGATACCAGGGCTCAGGTGAGGATGCCAGCACCAGCTGCTGCTGCTTGCTACCTCACAGGATGTTACTCCAGGCAGTGGCTGGCGACATTCCCAGGTGCCTCTGCAGACTTTTTCATTCTCATCAGGCACCTTGGTACCCATCCACCCTCCTGAAGTCTTTTCTCTCTTTTTAAAGACTCTGACATACCTCCACGGCCCTTCAGAGGTGCCATCCTAGAGCCATGTCCTTCCAGGAGATGTGGTCCCTGTGGGTAGGCAGAAACCCATCCCCCACCCATTCCTGGATTGAGCTTTTTTTATGGATGGTGATCCCAAAGGGTGGGGGCGGAGAGAGAGGAAGACGCCCTCACCCCTTCTGCTTAGCACCCTGCCAGGCACTTCCAGCATTCGTGGGAATGTGCAGAAGGTATTTTAAAGATGCTGAAACCAGCTGGGATTCAAGGTTAAATGGGTGTTTTCCACCATGATGGTACTGCTGGTACCTGCCTCCTCTGAGTATCTTCATGACGAGTAGGTCAAAGACCTTCTGCAGTTGGAGAACCCCAGTACAGTTGGAGACATGGAGGCCTTCAAGGAAAAGGGACCCATAAATGGGCAGGTGGGACCTTAAGCCATAGGCATACTGCCACCACATGGAAGGTGGTATCCTAGCTGGAAGGCAAGCTGGCAGACACTGTGCCCACTTCCAGTCCCTCTGCTCTAGCAGTTTCCTAGATGGCAGTGGACTGTATCCTCACAGAGGAAGTTTCTTCCCTCTCTTGAAGGATCCTGGGAACAACAGGCTTAATACCCCTCCTCCAATAATGCCTTAAAGTCCCGACTCATTTTTGTTGTTGTTGTTTGTTTGGTTGGTTCCATCCCTAGCACTGAATAAATTGGGTGTGTTGGCTCATGCCCTTAACCCCAGAACTTGGCAGATGGAGGAGGAATATCAGAAGTTCAAGGTCACTGTCTGCTACATGATGACCTCACTCAGCCTGGGCTACTTGGTCTCAAAAGAAAAAAAGAAAAGAAAAACTATTTAGAGCTGGTGGTGGCACACACCTTTGAACCCAGCACATGGGAGGCAGAGGCATGCAGATCTCTGTGAGTTCAAGGCCTTTCTGGCATACATATTGAGTTCCAGAACAGCCAGTGTTGTATAGTGAGACCCTGCCTCAAAAAAACAAATTTTTAGGTGAGGTCACCTAGAGGAGGGGCTGAGATATGACTTGTTCTAAGGTGAGAGAATTGGGGTGACAAAAACATTCATAGGCCCGAGGAGGGGGTCATGGGAGATGATGGAGGCATAGAGAGGTGTGGCTGGTGCCAATGGGCACCAAGGATAGGCAGCCACCTCCACATGCTAAGAGGCTGCTGGCTCCCACCTGTGAACCTCGCTAGACATCTTGGGCATCTCATCTGCTAAGTGAGTGTTACTCCCCGGCATCACTTTAAGGGTATGTAAGCTGCACTGAGCGCTGGCTCCAGGAATATGAAGCCTCCAGCTCACCCCAGCACCTGAGCTGGCCTGTGCAAGGCCAGGCTTGTCTCTGTCCTGTGTTCCTTGCCTCACATTCTTCCCCTCCATCCTGGCTCACTTCCTCATCTCCATCTGTGTGCAGATTTCTATTTCTGGGATCCTCACTTTGGTGCCCCTGCTCAGACTGACACTCCACCCTCCCTCATAGGAGCTGGTTGGTCACCAGTCCATTTCCAGAGGACAGGAATCTAGTCTTTGGAACTGAGGGAGGAGCCCTGGGAGGACTTGAGGCTGCAGGGAGGAGGCCTCAGACTTCTGTACCACTAAAAGAGTTCTTCAAGCCTGCCTCAGGCAAAAGGGCGTGCCTGGTGGACCAAGGCCCAGAGGTGGCCTGCAGGAGACACTATGCAGCTATAAGAGTGCAGGAGCAGGTCAGGCTTCCCTCTGTGGGACCTTTGTCCTCTTTGTCCCCTGAGCAGTGGCACCAGGCTCTGTCTGGGATGAGAAAACCTGCACGAGGGAATGCCACCATGCCCCACCTATTAAAAACCACACAGGACAATGTCCCTTTGCATATTACTGTATTGTCACATGAAATGCGCATCCGTAAGTGGCTGACTTGGAAACGACCTATTAGGTCTCACAGAGTCCGGCCCCTGGGGGCCAAAGCTGCACCAGTGCCCAGAGACCATGACAGGGGCTTTCTGTAGGTCTCAACATGGGCACCTGCTCTCCCCAGGCTTCAAGGCTGGGTGTTGTGGGAGAGGCCAGCTCATGCCCCAGGCCTTTTGGCTCTTGGGCAGCAGCTCCCCAAATTCACTAGGTCCTTGGTGGGTCAATGGCTATTCCTGGAGAAAGGCTCCTATGACCAAATAAATTTATGAACATTTGAGTTAAACATGACTTGAACAGTTGATTTTTCATTAGGACACATCAGTGCCTTTACAAATATCTATGCCCTTGTGAACATCTACTATGGGAGCAGCATGTAGTACTTCCCAAAATGCACTGGACCACAAGAGCCTTTCCCCCAGAAATATCTTGCAGGCTGGGGCCCCCAGGCACCCAATACTGTCGGTGACCACTGATATGCTAACACCTGTTAGGTAAGCTTTGTGCTGTGGAGTGGGAGTACAGTAAGACTGCTGTTTCAGTGATGAGGGGACCAGACTCTGCCCCTCCTATGGCCATCTTGTTCTTGTCTGTTGTCTTCAGACAAAGAATGGAGGCTAAGCATGACAGCCCATGTGAGTCGTCCTGGCTGCCTCAGAGTCCAAGGGAAAAAGACAGGAAGTCCCACAGTACTGACAAGCCAGCCTCCAACCAGGAAGGGGAAGTTGAGTCAGTCCATCCCCACTGACCCGCTTCTAGCCACCTCTCTGAGACCAAGCTCTGCCCAGAGCCTGGGTGGGTGGTGGGTGCTGGCTCACCAGGCAGATATGAGCATCTGGCAGGTGTTAGAGGACATCCACACAAGCTCCACCAGGCGGAACTGGAAGTAGCCAATAATGAAGCCTGAAATCACATCTGTGATGTGATGGCGTCCGATCATCACCCGTGACAGGCCCACGCAGAAGGCCCAGAGCACCAGCAGCACACGCAGGGGCACCGCCAGCACCAGGTGACTCAGAAAGAACTTGGACACCATGGCAGCACGGCTGGCATGGCCGGCAGGGAAGGCGTAGATGTCCATTGTGAGGTAGTCTAGGAGTCCAGGGCTCGTCTCATAGGGGCCACGGCGCTTGATAAGCTTCTGGACTCCAGCCACTGTCATGATGTCCAAGAGCAGCGCTGTGGACAGGACACAAAGGCCTGGGTGTCAGTGCCGCTGGCTGCCATCCTCCCCCTCCATTCATTTCTCTTGGCCTCAGTGACCTCAGGGCACACACATTCTCACCCCAGGGCCATTCCTATTACCTGGACTTCCTTCAGCAGAGATGCCACCCCTGGTACCTTGTTTGTAGAAGCTCCAACCACAGTTCCCTCATTTTCCTTCCTTTTTCTCACTACTTGGCTACTTGACATTTTTTTCTTCCTTCCTCCCTAGTGTGTGTGTGTGTGTGTGTGTGTGTATGTGTGTGCGTATGTGTGTGTATGCAGGCAGGCCCAGATTTTTATGTGGGTGATGGGGATTTGAACTTAGGTCCTCATGCTTGTGCAACAAGTATTCTTACCCACTGAGGCATCTCTGCAGTCCCTCCTTGCCCTCTGACATGTTCTTATTTCACTCTTATCTGTTCTCCACCCTCACCACTAGTGATGGGTGTCATGAGCAGCTGCAGGCACCTGCAGGGTTCCAGGGCTGAGATGAGGGGCCTGGGCTACAGAATTCCTCTCAAAGTATGTTAGTGAAGCTCTCCCGGTTCCCAGAGCACAGCAGTTTTCATAAAGCTGTGAGATGTGACTCATATAACACATATTCAGCATTGTCAGGACAGAGTCAGTGGTGTTTGTGCAGTCACAGTACTGTGCAACCAGTAGACAAGGCTAGTCCTGAGCTTGCAGAGCTCTTGCCTCTGCCTGCCAAGTGCTGGGGTTACAGGCATGTGCCACACATCTGGCTCCTCTGTGCAGTATTATGAGGCATCCCTAAGCTGCCCTCCACAGAGGCCAGGCTACACATATCACCTCACAGAAGACAACAAAGCCTTGGGGCATGGAATAGTCTCATTTGTTTCTTTCTTTCTGGAATGTTCTGCTCTTTCCTACCCACTGACTTTGTCTCCATTGTCCCCTTTAGGGCTCTGGGCTCATCCTGGTCTCACAGACAGGGTAGACCTGGACTATGTGTTCTCTTTCACGTTTTATGTAGTGGCCACTTTGGAACTTTGCATCATGAAGGTGAGGCTGAGCCTGTCTTGCCCAGGTTTGTCGCTTGGCCCCACACATAGCAGCAGTCAGTGAATCACTGACTGGAAACTTGGGTTGTTGGTTGGGCTTTTTCCCATTTTAGAAGTTTAGGGGAAGCTTTTGCCTCCGTCCTATGTTGGCCACCACCCTAGTAGGTGACTTTGCTGGGTTGCTCTACCTCTTTGGGCCATTGGATGATGGCATATGCCAGGGCCCAGGTACACCGGCTAGTCACAGTGGCTCCAAGGCTGCCAGTGTGGGGCAAAGACAAACCCTTCCTGGCCAAAATGAAGGCCTGGAGCTCAGAACTTCCTGCTCTGGAGCCAGGGCTGGTATCAGAAGGCCCAGCCACACGGCCAGGTCAGGAGGAAAGTCTCAGATAGTCTTCTCCTCCACTCCTCATGGGATACCAGTGAGGTCCCCAGCACTGAGAAGTCCCTCTTTAGTGACAGCTGCAGACAGACAGCAGTGTGGTATAGCCACTGTGACTGCATGACTCAGGTGTCACCTAGCTATTCCCACCTGTGAGGTGCAGATCATAGATACTATTTCTCTGAGGGGGGACAGTATGTGCCTGTAAGGATGACTGGTGGTCCCAAGCAAGGGGTTTAGGAAGTCCCAGGACATACAGCACTCTGCACCTAAGTAGGGAAGTCCCAGTGTCTAGGTGGCATTTGGTCCTGCCTCAAAAGCCTGGCCCATCAGAGGGTTGGTGACCATTACTGGAGAATGCCTGGCCAGGACCTTGTCTCTAAACCCTCTCAGTGTATGTCAATGGCTGACTTAGCCAACATGTTCATGGCAATGGGGAAGGACAGAGCTGGGGTACAGTTTAGTGGTAGGGAATGGGTTTATCATCTGCAGGTGCCTGGCTTCCATCGAGAGAGAAGAGAGAGGAGAGAGAGAGAGAGAGAGAGAGAGAGAGAGAGAGAGAGCACTTTGATGGCAGGCCAAGCATAGTAATAATGCATGCTTGTTATCTCAGCACTTGGTAGGTTGGGACAGGAGGATAATGAAATTGAGGCTGACCTGGGGCTACATAATGAGACACAGGGCACAGCAAACAAATTGGAGCAGCTATTTGCTTCCACCCCCAAATTCTTGGGTATGGTTGGCTCTTAAGAGGAACAGGTGTGTGCCAGACCTGGGGCTAGTCAGACAGGCTGGCAGAGCTCCTAATGGCTAAGGGGGGGACAGACAGTCACCAAATGATTGCACCGAGCAGTGTTACTACAGAGGTGGGGTCTGGGGACAAGCGCTTTGGTAGGCTGCAGCTGTCTGGGTGTTGAGGGCTAAGAACAGAAGTGGCTGTGGGGCTACCCTCTAATGCACAGGATAGGGCAACTCTCCCTCCCTTCCTCCAGTGTGGCCAGCCCTGGGTGTGGTTGTGATTGTCGAATAATCTGGAGCCAGAAATAGAAATAAACATTACCATCCTTGTGTCTGAGAACTCTGCCTGTCTTGAGTTTGTTAACCTACACCTCACTCAGCTCTGGTTGGGAAAAGTGCCTCCCAGTTGTCAGGAAGCTCAGGATGAGTTGGAAGCTATAGTGAAAGCTGACCGACTGCCTTTGGTTTGCTGTGGGTTTGGGAAGGTCATGTTACTCCTTGGGCCTCCACTTCCTGAGGTCCAGCAGGGCAGTGGCTGGCACTTAGGATCCGGGATGAGAGACTAGATTCAAAGTTACCCCTTGTATACTATATAATTTTGCAAGCCAATCTCTACTAGCTCCCGTCCCTTGTTGATACCATAGGGAGCAACATGGAGCCCTTTTTGAGGGCCCCCTCAGGCAGTGATAATGAATAGCACCTAGGACCCCAGCAGAGGACCAGAGAGAAGCTGCAGTGTGTCTCATCCTATGAACCAGCAGTGTTCACCTTTCCCACAGGGAAGCAGGAACTGGTGTCCTGAAGGCCTCCTTCCTGGCTTTAGGGTGATGAGCTCCTGCCTCATCCTTCCAGCTCAGCAGCCCTCTGGGCCTGTGGTGGCCAGGAAACTAGAGCGCTGGAAAACCCTAGATCAAGGCAAAGCCAGGTCTACCAGTGTATAGAGTAGAGAGGTAGCTGGGAGGACCTCACATGGCCCCCTTTAGGTTTGGGCAGTTATTCCCTTGAAGGCCACCTCAGCCAGCTCACCCCACTGCAGCACAGTGGTGACAGGAAGGTGCAGGCTGTTGGCCAGCAAGGAGCAGAGATATGTCCTAACATTACAGGTTTGTGGGTTAAAGTCCTTGGTGCTTCTAGCCTGGAGGTGGCCTCTGACTCTGACCTCCATTCTGACGCTGGGAAGCTGAAGCTAGCACTCCATAGCCCCTTGGAACTGAATGTCAATAGGTCTGTATTCTAAGGGTATCTGGCTTAGGACCGTCATACCCAGCTGGGTCCTAGGCTTCTGCTTTTTAGGGTTGCCTCCTGGAGAAGTGATCTGGGGTGTGCACCTGACTCCTAGTTAAGGTCACTTATGGCCAGTTATGGCCACTGCTGTGTAACTCAGAACCCTGAAAACTGTGCAGCGCCCCAGTGCCCTTCAAGGCCAGACAGATACAACACACCATGGATGAGTCTAGACAATGAGTGCCCAGCAGCCACTGCAGATGACAAGGGCCTCAGTATATTTATAGCCACCAAGGGGGAGCTATGGGGCGGGTATGCTAAGTGGAAAAGGCCAACTACAAGATAGGATTTACAACTATGCCATCAAGTGAAAGTTGCAAGCCTGTGTCTAGATGCAGAGGCCTGCGAGGTACTGGCCTGCCTGCAATCAGGGCTTCTCTCTGAGCAGGGGTGGTGTGGGGAGGTGGGATTTGCAGGGGATGGAGTTTTTGTTTTTTTTTAATTGTCTCTGCACTCATTTCTTTCCTATGAATGTGCATTTTGTATACATAGTCTTAAGGTTATTTTCAGATGGCAACGTAGTAGAATGCTTGCCCAGCACTCATGAAGTCCTGGGTTCAATCCCCAGCATGTCTAAAACAGGTGTGATGGTGCACAGCAGTGATTTTAGCACACAGGAGATGAAGGCAGGAGGATCAGAAGTTCAAGGTCGTCCCTGGCTACATAGTGAATTAAAGGCCAGCCTGGAGCTACATGAGACCCTAAGATAGAACATACCATAGGATTCCTTACATGAGGGACCTGGAGCAATTGGGTTCATAGATGGAGAAGCAGAGTGGGGTGTGTGGGGTTGGGAGTGAGCGCAGTGGAGAGTTAGAATTTCATGGGGGAGGACTTCCATCTCTGTAAGAGGATGAACTTCTGGGCATATATGGTGGTGACATCTGTTTCTGCACAGTAATGTTTAATGCCAATGAACTGTGTACTTAGAAATGTTCAAATGACATTTTTTATGACATATATATATATATATATATATATATATATATATATATATGTATATGTATGTAACCACATTTGCAAAAAGTTATTTTTAAAATATCAAAGCAACATTCTAAAAAGACATGGTCTCCCTGGGGAGCATTATGAAGAGGACAGGTTGGGAGAAAGGAGCACAGTGGGAGGCTGGGAGGGGTCTGGACTCCGGCAGAGATCCCTGCCTGTTGTCTTGAGGAGCTTATGCATGTGTGTTGCTGTGTACACATACACAGTTACTATCTCTCCTATCTCCTTTGAGTCCCTGCCACCCCCATGCCACACCAGTTTGCCATCAGGTGGGTCTTTGTCAGTCCCCTACTCCCCTGACCAAGTGGCTCTTCACAGTGGACCTGCTTTCTCAACTGAGGAACTCATACCCGAAGCCAGCTCCATGAAGACTGTCACCAGGGTACTGCCTCGGCTGAGTGGCTTGTGCTACTGGGAGTAGGTCCCAGAATGACCCCACTGGCTTGTGAATTGCCCTGTATGGTGAATTCCTTTCTATTGCCTGTTATGATCCTCAACAGGCAACCTTGGGGTTGCCAAAGACCCCCAGGAGGTCAGCTGTC